CCTTGATTGATATCTATGCCCTTTGTGTCAAAAGAAGCTTGAGGAACCCTGCAGTTATTACTGCATACACCATTGGAGATGGGGTAAGATATCTTGAATCTTTTTACCAAAAAAAACACATTTTTGTTATTCTAATCTTGAATTATTTTTACATAATTGTGGCATAGGTTACATCAACTATTACTTTTGCTGCTGCATGTGCATGTGCTGGAATCACGGTTCTTATCAGCAATGATCTTAATAGATGTGACATAAACCATTGCAAAAGGTTCATGTCTGCAACAGCTATGGCTTTTATAAGCTGGTTTGCTGTTTCTCCATCTTTTTTCTTGAACTTTTGGTCTTTAGCATCATCATGAGGAGTAAAAGCAGCTATGCTCACTAATTTCTGTTTTCATTTGTGAAGTTTTTAATTTTAAATTAAATGCAATCTATTTGAGGTTGTAGGTACAAAATTTTGCTTGCTATTTGGAAGTTAATTAGTGTTTTTGACACTTTTGATGTCAAGTTTTGGGTATTTGTGTCTTGGGTTTAAATTAGTTGGTTGTGACAAGATTAACTTCTATAATTTTGTTGTTTATGATGTTAAATGTTGGGAAAAATTGTGGGGAATAGCAATGTGCTTTATTTTTTGTTCATAATAGAAACATGCTTATACTTTTTTACACATAATTGGAATATATTTACGTTTCGTTACCGATTATAGCAATATATAACTTGAAATTTATGAAATGCGTAAAAGTTTCATCTTGAATATTGCTATTATTGATAAAGAAATGCAAGTGCGTTGCTATTATGGGTATAAAATTGTATTTAGATTGCTATTATGTGTATAGAAATGTAAGTACATTGCTATTATGGGTAAAAAATGAAGTACAACGCCTATAGTGGTAAATGGAATAAAGTATCGTGCCATTTCCTCCAATTTGCCATTGTACTTGCATTCCGTTATTTAAGTCGTTTCCGATTATTTGTTTTCAGTTACACCATTCAAGGATGAACAAGTTTAATGGATTATATATATATATATATATATATATATATATATATATATATATATATATATATATATATATATATAGGTTCTATGGAAAACAAAAAAACCCTAAAAAAATCCTAAAAATCATAAAAATGCATAAAAAAAATACTTAGAGATCACAAAAAATATTTTTGAATTTTTTTTATAAAAAATCGCAGGTTTTTGTTGAAATTCGCTGAAAAAAAAATCAATTTTTTTTTTTTTGTAAAAAAAAAAAGAAATTTCAAAATTTTTTTCACCGATTTTGTATAAAAAGCTGCGATTTTTTCAAAAAAAGTTTTGTGATCTCTAAGTATTTTTTTTTATGCATTTTTATGATTTTTAGGGTTTTTTTGTTTCCAAATAACTCTTCCCTCTATATATATATATATATATATATATATATTATAGATATATATATATATAGATATATATATATATATATTATTAGGTTACACTATTTGCTCTTTCTTGTTTTACATCCTCATTTTTTTCAAGTTAAATTTGATTTAAATTGTTTGTTGATTGTAAAAGTACAATGGTCATTTAATCTATTCTCATACGATACTTACTACTTAGTTTAGCAAAAAAAAATGATCCTTATATATAGAACTTTTTATCCGTAATTAGATAATTACCTATTTAGACATTTTATTCATAGATGTAGGGGTGACAAATCGGGCCATCGTGTCGTGTTTTTGCCTAACACGACATGACACGGCAAGCTTTTATGTGACACGAACACGACACGACACGATGTCGTATTTTTTTTAACTAACACGAAAACGAACCAATGAAAAAACGAAAAACACGACACGACACGACAAAGATAACATAATATAAAAATTAGTTTATTTAATTAATATTTAATCATACATAACACGACAAACACGAAAACACGACAAACAAATGCTTAATCGTGTCAATTTCGTGTCAAAATTTAAACAGGAGCACGACACGACACGACACGACATTGTGTTTTTTATACTTGACACGAACACGACACGAATATGAATTCAAATTTCAGTTTCGTCCCAATTACGTTTCGTGTCGTGTATTTTTGTCGTGTCGTGTCAACAATTGACACCCCTACATAGAGGTCATAATGGGTAAAAGGAAAACAATCCCTAAACTTCTTGCAACATAACCCAATTGAATCCCAAAGTGTGGAATCGTGTTCTGGTTTATGAGGCTGAAGAATGCCTTGGAAAGGTGGGGAAATAGTCATAATATATGATATGAGCAATTTTATTTATGTCTTCCTAAATGAATATTATAGACCGCGTTGTTGAAAATTAATGATGAAACTAGGGTTTGGACCGTCCGCGCGTTGCTGCGGAAGCTCCGGTATTTTAAAAAACGCAGTTTGACACCATATATATATATCATAGAGACGATTAAATCATATAAAGTGGAGCACAAAAATATCAAAATAAAATATGGATACAAACAATTGACTTGAAAGTGTATATTTAAGAAATTAATAAAAAAAGAATTATTAAAAAATTATATAAGGGGTCAAAATATAACTTTAAAATATAATAAGGGACCAAATTATAATGTATAAAATACTAATAATTTAACTTTAAATTTATAAGGGTTGAAAATTGTTAAATAAAAATTATTAAGGGGAAAAAATAAAATATATATAAATTTAAAATTATAAGGATAGAAATTTTTACATCAAAATTAGTTTAGGGATACAAAATATAAAAACAAATAAAAGTAAATGAAGGAAAATAAAAAAAGAATTGAAAGTATGAAGACTTACTTTATTTTTGCTTACGATGTGAATAGTAAATCTCCTTACAAACCAATTTTGGTAATTAATATATATGTAATATAATTAGTAAAAATATAAATATAGTAAGGAACGTAAGTAGTAACTTATTAAATACTAATAGTTTTATTTTATAATTACCAAGGATGAAAAGTGTTCAATTAAAATTACTTCAGGGAAAGAAAGGTAAATATAAAGATTTGCTATTGTTAGAAACAAAATCTTTATTTTCAAAAGAAGACTTATTTTAGAACTTGTACCGTATTATTTCTATATAATAACTTAATCTGAATATAGTTATTTGTGCTTTGGAAATAGTCAAAACCAAATAAATAGTGATACCCCTCACAAACCAATTTTGATAATTAATATATATATATAATAGGGTTTGGATCGTTCGTCCGATGTTGCGAAAGCCCTAGTATGTTGAAAAATGCAGCTCGACACCATATATATAATGGAGACGATTAAACTATATAAAGTGTAACACAAAAATATCAAAATACAATTTAGATACAAACAATTATGTACGGAAGAGACTGACGAAAATAAGACTTTAAAGTGTATCTTAAAGAAATTAATAAAAAAAGAATATTAAAATACTAATAATTTAATTTTAAAATTAGGAGTTGTGAAAACTATTAAATAAAAATTATTTGAGAAAAAATGTAAGTATGAAAATCTTCTATGACCCGAACATAAATGGTTATCCATAAAAACTATTTCTTTGCATTTTATACTACATGCTTGGCAAGATATAACATGATTTGGTTTAATAAATTTGGATTTGAAAATAGAAAAACCACACAACAAAACTATTTCTTTACATTTTATACTACATGCTTGATAAGATATAACATGATTTGGTTTTAGTAAATTTGGATTTGAAAATAAAAAGACCAAATGATTAGTGAATCCTCCTCACAAACCATATATATATATATATATATATATATATATATATATATATATATATATATTCAAAAAGACTTTGTTTTGCATTTTATATACTACATGATTGACAATATATAACATGATTTGGTTTTAGTAAATTTAGATTTGAAAATAGAAAGACCAAATGAACAGTGAAATCTTCTTACAAAACATATTTGGTATATATATATATATATATATATATATATATAAAGGAAAAGTTCAATAGGAAACCATAATTATTGGTTCTCCAAGGAACAAATTTTTTTTAAAGTTCTACAGTTTATTCTTTATTGAAAAAAAAAACAAAAAATATCTAAATTCAGAATATAACATTGTGAATGTTAAATATATTTTTCGGATTCACCTTGTGAATTTAGATTCACATTGTTAATTTGACGAAAAAAAAAATTTGAATTTGATATCATTGGAAAAATGATAAAAAAATTATGAATTTTTGTATTTTTAGTTTTTTTTTTTGATAAAAAATAAGTTCTAAAAGTTGAAAAAAAGATTGGTTCCTTGGTTAATTATGGTTCTCTATTGAACCTCTCTCTCTCTCTGTATATATATATATATATATATATATATATATTATATATAATTATATATATATATATATATATATATAATCGGAAAAATCAAACATTGAAAATTTTGTTTTTAGGGACATTACATACAAAACGTATTAAACTTTTAACTTCAAAGGGAGTTTGACTAGGCTTCAACGTGCATTTTCTGAGTCAAAGAGAATGAACTGACAATATTGGGCATGATAAATTGGCAAGAATGTGCTTTCCTAGTGTGCGTTATAATATGATGGCTTCTAATATTGTTGATGACATCTACACATTATTGATAGATGAACAAAGTGTACCATAACAACATTTATTGAGGTTCTATGTTGCATGATGCAACAATGATATTCTGAATATTGTGATGATGGAGGTAAATGTATAAACATCAACAAATAACTATTTTGAGCATCATATGAAGTGAGTCCTAATATCTTTTGCAATGAGATGTTGACATCTTTGAAATCTACATGATATTAGTTGTACATGTCAAAAATATCAATGCGTTGGTATACCATGTGGTAATGCAATATCAGTCGTGAATTCACTAGGGTCTACACATTTTAACCATTTCATTAATTTCTTTTTCATGTCAACATTTTATCGATATCCTCTTCTAGTTTTGTTTGATGGGAAATGTCTAACCCCACATTAATGAACTAAAACCAAGGAAACCATTTGCTAAAGAATTAATTATGATGGTCTTTTGAATAACTTCATGCCGATGTAATGAAAGTTTCTGTATTTAACCCTTTACCTGGATACAACAATACATCTACGGACTACAGTCTCAAAACAACAGTGTAAGCTTGAAGTCAAACTCCACCATCTTTGGTCAAAATCATAGATTCATTCAGACTTCTAACACTTACACCCTCTGCATACTGCACTTCATCTTCTCAGCTTCAAGCTCTTGTTTTAATGTCTCAACTCTTTCCAACAAGTTTATATTTTCCTGATAACAAGTTTATAATATCACTCCCCTCTCTTATAAAGTTTAACAGATACAAAAAAAAACTATAGTATACCTTCTGTAACATATCTAGCCTTTTGGTTATGCTGGCACCACTCTTATCTCCAAGACTCTCCTTAACCTGCAAACAAGAACCCATTTACTAATTAGGTTAAAGGATCAAACTTAAATCTAACAGCATTTCGAAGATTGTATACTCGATGTTTTCATGAACATGTGAATTGTGATTGCAAATGTACATACTCTTTTTAGCTCCTTGGTACACTTATTTGCTCGTTCTTCTGCAACATCGAATTTCAGTCTCCACTCTGCAGATTCATCCATTGCTTCCCTGTTTGCAAGATCAAACTGCCTTCTGCAATAAATCAACAACGATTACACTATTTCAGGTCAATGTTGTACTTCCGCTGATGTACATTATGAAATATCGTTTCATTCTAAACCCTAATTTCCTAATCTTACAGCTCCATAAGATTCTCTCTCAATCTCCATTCATAATTTCAATACTATTGAAGAATTAAACATATATATTACAGTAATCCGTTGTTCGTCGGTTAAATTTTCGAAGAAAACCAATGAAATCTGCGTTATATACCTTATTAATTCGGTTTCATTGGAGGAAATTTGGTAATCAATGGTCCAAAGCTTCATATAGACCGCGAGTCCAAGAACCATAACGATTACTACGCCGATCAATAACGGCCCTCTCATCATCATCATCACAATCTTCTTTTACTTTTTGTTTGTGGATTAAAGTTGAATCACAGCTTTAAACAAGCGCTAACAGAATTTGGTAATAGTAATGGTGATCATGCTAACATTAATGCGATGACGGCGAAAGGCCACAGGAAGAGGATCATAACATTAACATCACGGCGGAGCAGCCGTGTAAGGATAGTAGAACTGGAAGCCGACATTCCACCAGCAAACCCTTTCTCTATTTTTAGACAATTATGTTTTCTCCTTCGTAGCCACTTTTCATCTTATTCTTATTTATGGTAATTAACTAATTCTTACTATAGGGGTTTATCATAAAATCTTATATTCGCCATTATATTATATAAATTTATTGAGAAAATAATTTTTTTAAGGACAAATCTAAATTATTTCTAAACTGTTTTTTAAAACGAAAATAATTATTTACTTATTAAAATGCCAAATGTGTTTGGTCCACAGCTATTATTTGGGTTGCCCATACCTAGGCCTGCTTAAATAGGCCGACTTCTATGTTTTGAATTCGTGTACTTCAAATTTTAATACTTCTTCTAGGGTACATAACTGTATTATAACAAAAAAAAAAAAAAAAAAAAACAAAAAAAAAAAAAGATTCACTCAAACGTATAGACTAATGGTTAAAATCAAGAAAAGAAGACATTTCCATCTTTTCTAAGTGTTTTTATTTTAATTTAAAAAGAGAAATTAGCTAAATTTTAAGATTTTATTCTTCAATAACCAGGAATTTTGTAACAGGCTCTGGGGCTTCGGGACTACAAAATGGGCCGTCCATAATTAAGACTTATTTCATTTTTGCCTCAATTCTTTTTGTAAGAATTTCTCTCAACTCGTTTTAGACTAATAAATTTTTAGTTTAATGTGAAAATGGTTTTTGTATATACCTACCACAAGAAAACCACTGTAAAAAATGTTTTTTTTTTTTTTTTTTTGATGAAAAATCATGATTTGTGTTAAATTATGAATAATTTCATATAGTACGGAGACAAATTTGCAATATGATAAATTTCGTAGTAAACAGTAAATTTTGCAGTATAATTGTTTTGGTTTTTTTTAAAAAAAAAAAAATACTAAAACGTCGTTTAATTTGTTTCGCATGACTAAAGGCAATTTTGGTGACCATTGCGAAATTAGTAGATGGGAGGAGTTTTCTTAAATTTTGTCCAACTTGTAAAAAATCCTAAAACGAAAAGGGTATTGTTATCTTTTCTCCTAAAAATCAAATGTTATGGTCAAAATGATGTTAAGATGAATAAATCCGTTTGCATTTAGATGATAAATACTTAAAACAGTGATATAATTAATTTAAAACCAAACAAATTATTTGACATACTAGGTTAAAACCCGAGGAACCCACGGGTGTTTTTGAATTGAATTTAAAATTTAATTATTTAATAAAATAATACTTCATTAATTTTGATAACTTATGAATTGTAATATTGCATTTTTCAATAAATTTTTTATTTGTAAGTATTTAATTACAAACTAAATGGGAAGTATTTAATTAGAAATGAAGATTTTTGAAAACCCTTATTTTTGGTGCATGATTCTTGTTGGACATATGCAGATGATGCATTACCAATGTGTGTAATGAAATTAACATAAAAAAAAACGTAATTATAAATAAATAAAGTAATATGATGGATTAAGTGTGATTTGCTAAAAATGTATAAAATATGCTACAAAAAAGTTGACTACAAATTTCGAAAAACTTCTTTATAAACAACATTGGAAGTTTTATTTGTGAGTTTGCCATTTTTATCTAAAATTAATAATTTTAATCTCTCTCTGCTTTGAACTCTAGATAAGGCAACATACAATTGTCCATGTGAAAAAAGTGGATCTTTGAGAAACAAACCAACCTTTGATAACGATTGTCATTGACTTTTATTAATAGTCATTGCAAAACATACCGCCAAATGAAACTGTCTTCTTGTGAATTTCAAGGGAATCTTTTTTTCTGATGGAGTTAAAGACATTCTTGGAATAAAAGTCTGGTTTCCAATATTAGTTCCAGTTATTATATGTGCCTCAATAACACGTTTGCCCAATGATAACGCCTGTAGTCTTGTGCCATTACATAAGCCGTTTTTCTGATCAATATTTCTCAGTAACATTACTGGAACACCAATTTTTAAAGCTAACTTATGATTTGGTAAACCGGATACTTTGAGACCATTTAATACATCAGGAGAGTATAAATTTGCATCAAACTGATCATGGACAAATTTGGATTCACATATGTTGTCTGAACTTAAATATTCAACTTCATCTCCTGGAAACTTCTTAAGCAAACGGTCGTTTATTTCCTGAACAACTTCATTTTTTGGAGCAAGTATCGCTCTTTCTTGGAAATAATTAGTATCGCTATAGTTCTCTAAAATTGAAGGATATACAAACTCAATTAAGGAACCTATAGGATCATGTGAATCATTAATGAGAATATCATCTGGAATATCGATAATCGTTTCACCGTCGTTCGGACCACCAAGTTTGCCTTCTCCTATATCCAATAGCCAATTTGCAAAATCTCTTATTTTTTCTATATCAGATTGATCCCTTCCAACAGTTAGCCTCATGTTTTTTGTTAATCTATGGACTTTGCAATGTTGTCATAAATATGAAGAACTCAAAGAAGCATTTACAATGTTCTGTCTACTGCCACCTGGAACAACAGGTAGAATCTGTCTAAAATCTCCTCCAAAGACAATAACTTTCCCTCCAAATGGAATATTTGAGATGGTTGAATTTCCGCACCTTAATAATCCTTCAAAGTTCGATCTAAAGCTTCAAATGCATGCTTATGGACCATAGGTGCTTCATCCCAATTATTAAAGAGGTTTTTCTTATTAGGCTAGCCAACTCACCATCTGGATTTATTTTACAAAAAGAATCCTCTGTAAGTTCAAATGGAATTATAATCGAGAGTGTGCTGTTCTACCACCGGGCAATTAAGGAAGCAATACCGCTTGAAGCAACATTTAAGACAATATTACCATCAGATCTAATTGCTGCAGATATTGTTTTCCATAAAAAAAAGTTTTACCCGTTCCACCATAACCGTAAACAAAGAAGACACCTCCTTTATTTTCTTGAATAGCACTCATGATGTTTAGGAAAATGTTACGTTGCTCATTTGTTAATGCAAGAAACATACGATCATAGTCATTCTTTATAATGGGAATGTCGTAATCTAGCTCCTCGGTGATAAGTCGATTGTTTGAAGAAGAAACAGATTCAACATCTGGGTATGGCATCTTTTTGAAGTTTTTGAGAGTAGAGTTGTTTCGAAGTAAAATTTGTTCTATTTCGAACAAAGTTAAGTTCTTAAGTTCATCTACTCCGAGTGACAATTCTGCACGAAAAGATTAAATAATTAATAAAATATTTGGTCGATACTTAATAATTTTATTACTAATTATTTAATGGGTGTTGAATAATAAAAAGAAATTAATTTAAATAAAAAAATAAGAAAAAAATGTAATACCTGCAGACTTAAATCTTTGTCGTTGGTTATATAGAATTTCATCTGCCAAATATGCTCATGTATTTTCCCAAACAACCTCTGGTTTAGACATACTATTACACATCAACAATGTAGCAAATAAGAAGCGTAGATAAAAACCAGATCTAGAATGACTTGCTTCTTTAATTGCATCAATGTATTCATTGTCATCATCTAATAGCCCGAGTGCATAACAAGCATCTTTAAAAGAAGAATGTGTTTCACCATTTACCGTGAGAATTTCATCAAATGATGTTGGACCTTTTACTTTATTTAAAAGAATCCGTAAGAAATATGCTTCACCTAGTTTAGGTGAAACCGAATGAATTCGACCGATGGCTTTTCCTACTTTCCTTCGCTTCCAAAACCGACCATTTAATTGCCTAACAAACTTTGTAGGAAATTCAACATATGTAAGTTTTCGTGCTTCACTGTCGATTGCATTACACTCCATCCAAGATGTGAACTTTGAAGCCGCAACAGAAGGTTTGTCAAGAACATCATCAATATCATCGTCTTCGCCATATATAATCTGTTGTTGATTAGGAAGATGAAAAGGTAGTCTGACAACAGAAGGATATCTGCAATGAACATCATATTTAAAAATTCGCCATGATGCTTCACATGCTGATAAATATCTACAATCGTAATATTCAGCTATTTCATCGACCACATCATTATTTTCATATTCATTGTTGGTTGGTACAACAGCAATTGTAGCTCTATCAGGACCCTTATTTATGTATTTAAACAAATACTTTATAGAAGATCCCTGATTGTACCATTCAATATTAATATGTGCCTGGTATCTTTTTCAATAGATATTTGTTGTATGGAACAACATTTCTATTATCCAACCTTACACCTGATTTTTCTACAAAATGACCATCGTTTCTCCGCCTATATAACGGAAAACCATTTTGATCAACAGACGAATGATTACAGAATTGTTTTGGAAAGTTTTTAGAGCACTTTTTATCCACCATGCATGGACAATTCATATTTTCAGCTCCACATGGACCATGAATCATAAACTCATTCACAAGTGAATACAATTCACGATCTTCAATTATGTCTGGTATCTCGGCTGAAATTATCGGATCGATAAGTTCAACAGTTGGTAGCTTGTTGTCAGAATGCATGAATAGACATATATGACTATGCGGCAAACCTCTTTTTTGAAATTCAATGGTATAAACATCTGTAAAAGAATTTGCCAAAAAAATAAAATGTGATTAGATTTTAAAAATATAATAATAAGAGCAATGTTTTATAAATAATTAAAAAATATATTTTTAATTACATGCTTGAACTTTGCCGAAAATTTGTTTCTCCCTTAAGTCTTTAATGAATGCATCAAGCTTGATCTTGAACAACCTACATAGTATATCAGGCATGTCTTCTGGTTGAAGTGAAGTATCCTTAAGAAACCTTTTAATCTCAGGCCATTTGGGATTACACGTAAAGGTTATGAAGAAATCAGGATATCCAAACCATTTATAAAGTGACATGGCATCCAAATAGTTTTGCAGCATATAGCGTGCTCCACCGGTAAAGGACGAAGGTAATATGACACGTTGGCCGACATTGGAGATATCAGTCGTTCCTTGAGCTTTTTGGTTACGTAAATTTTCATAAGAATCACATCTAAGAACATGTTGTTGCCTACGTATGTAGTACAATCTCTCTGTTTCCATCATAGTATAGGCATCAACCAGAAACTGTTG